GGGAGCGGGCCGCGCGGGGCCGCGGCACTGACCTGAGGCAGCCGGAGGAGAATGCCCGCGGCCTGGATGAGCTCACAGCCCAGGATGCGCAGGTCCGTCTCGCTGGGCAGGTCGAGCCCGTCCTGCATGGACGGCGTGGGCGAGAGCCGCTCCTCCGGGATCAGCGAGTGGTCGATCGTCAGCGACACTTCCGAGTACAAGCGGTCGCCGATCAGGATCCCTCCGGTCGTGGCGGTGGTGGTGGTGGTGGTCGTCGTCCCGCAGCTGGAGCCGCCCGCGCTCGGAGCCGCCGACGAGGCGGCCGCAGCCGTGGCCGCGGCCGGGTGAGGCCCGGACGCCATAATCTCTGCGAGCTACACGCACGCCCAACGCAGCCGGAACCCAGAACGAGACTAACCAGCGTTCTGGGCGCGACGGATATGCCTGTGATCGCCGGGTTCGGGGACGCTGCACGCAGCGTACGCTTCCGCCTTGACGTCACCACGCCGGCCGGCGCGCGCCAACCACTCCCTCCCTGGCGGCGCCTTCTCCTGTGACTGGAAGAGGAGGGGCCGGGCCGGCCCGAGCGCTGGGCGTTGCCCACGGGCGGGCTCGACGTCACGCCGGGAAACTTCGCCCGAATCCCCGGCTATTCAAAGACGCTTTGTTAAGCCAGCTGTAAACCGTTCTTTAGTCGCAGTGTTAGGCCTGTAGCCCAGAGTCCCCAAATCGCTGCACCACCGCCTTGTCACCGGGTAGAAGAGCTCGAGTCCCGTGCCCCGTTTCTCCCTTCCCCCTCGCGTTTCGCTTCTCCTCGACGAATACCCCACACGGACGGAGGGCGACGTCGGCTGACTCCCAGCCCCGCAGTCGCGGGACCAAGGAGATCGCGTGGAAGAAGTAACTGATACTTGGAGGAGCTTGACATTTCGAGGGACCCTCAAAACGCTGGAAAGGGCTGCTGTGCGGGAGCTGTTTTTAGGAACCGATCCCGACCCCGGGGAGAGTGTCGGGCCCTATTGAAAGCTCCCCGAGCTGCACGAGGTTGCCCGCACACGCGGCTCGGCCCCCGGCCCACCCCTCAGCTTCCAGCAATCTGGGAATTCCCTGGCTGCCAAAACGAGTTCTGGCCGGCCAGCTTTCAGAGGGATTTTCATGACTTCGGGTGCGTGGTGGCCACACAGGATTGAATGGGGGAAACCAAGTTCATTTATTCTTGATGTGACACTGCCTCACTCAAAACGCATGCCATCAAGTTGATCCTCACTCTAAGCGATCCCACAGGGCCGGACAGGACTGCCCCGGTGGCTTTCCCACACTAATGGGCGTACAGAGCCTCGTCTTTTTTCCGGTGATGTGTGCTAGAAATGTCGGAATTTTCCTCCTCAGATATGGAGTGAAAAACAATGTCTAGTTCAAACAACCACTACCTAGAGTTAGAAGGAAAAGATTTGAGAGTCCTTCACGTTTTTTCACTCCATCCAGTTTTTGTTTTTTTTAATTTCCCTTTCCCCCTTGACTGGATTAAACCTCACGATCTGGCAATTAAAATCCCACTAGTAGCTGTCATGTGGGGGAAAGAAGACACAGCCTACTTCCCTAAAGCTGGGTAGCCTGGGAAACCTTGTGGTCTCGTTACCTTATTACATAGTCAAGCAACAAGCTTTACATTGTTGAGAAACGTTTTCAAGATAAGTCATTCTGGTGCAGGTTAAAGCACTTTACCTGCTTCGAATGGCACCTCCCTCACCTGTCCAACCTGGCTGCTTCCTGGGAAACTTCCCTCCTCAAGTGTTCAGAAGAGCTATTTAAAATGCTGTATTAAACTTTTAAAGTTCCCTCAATTTAAAAACTAATGTTGTGGTTTTTATACCCCCCCTCCCCCCCCAGTTTTGACCATCCGTCGTTAAGATTATCAATGGGGAAAAACTAGGTAAATGGAACTCCATGCTTTTTGGAATTTCATGTGAGTCTTAAGTTATTAAAAAGGAAAAAAAACCCACCTAACTGATCATAGGTCTTATTGAAGCATTTGGCTTCAGTGAAATCACCACGTACGTTTATAATGGCTTAAGAGCAACTTATTTTTAAGAATATTTCCCAGTAAAATATCTTCTTTTTAAAGGGTTTTCTACTCTGCCTCTCTGAGACTAACGAGATATTAAGAAAATATATTTATATATATTTGCCTTCTATGTGTAATTATATTTTTACCCTCTGTGTCCTTGATTATAGAGTCCTTGGGCAAGTAACACCAAATTCTTGATAACGGGAGATTGTACCTCTTTTCTCCAAATAACATCATTTCCCAGTGCCCTGCCCTCTAGCAGTTATTTACAGAAGCCTAACTATCAGCAATTCTGCAACTTTGGGCTCATTTCCCACCCCTACTGGCTCTACTCCTAATTATTTAAAATAGATACAAATGATGTCACTATTCCTCCCCCAACAAAAGTGGAGGAACGGAACCAACACTTTATAGAAGTAGTTGCTTAGCATTAATTCATCACACTGTAATGTTACTTTTAATTTATTTCTTAGACCCATGCCGACCCAGAGGGTGGAGAGCAGTGGGGGTAAGTGGCTCTGGTCCACAAAGTGGTCTGGGAACGTGAATTTCAATATAATACATTACTCTACCCTTTCTTCAGAGTCAAATCCCGAACAAAAAAGGAGCATTTCAAAAACTTGTTACATCATTTCTTTGTTATTTACTGAGAAGAGTTGTTTTTCCATGTGCCTCCTTCCAAAATGTCAACATTAAAATGTGGAGAGGCAGAGACCTGTTCAGAGTTATAAAGGATTGAGTTGTGGAAAGCAAAGTACACATTTTAGTTGGATAAAAGCATTGGTAGAAGTGAGTTCAGGCACGTTCCATCAGAAAGGTCCCATTAGAAACAAATAATTAAGTTGTCAATCTAAGGGGGGAAATGATAGCAAGTCTAATTGCTGTGGCTGAGCTCGGACAAGTCCATTCTGCCCCATGGCCACCTCAGGTGGCCGAGTAAAAATGCCTCCTAGAGTTTTCTTGTGGTGCAGGTAAACCCCAATTTACCATGTATGTGAGTTACTTGAGTTATGACTAACAGCACTTATAACTATGTATTTTGTTTTGTTGTACATTATCTCATTAGTGATATGTACTACATACAATGTTGCAGCGTGTAACTTACTGATGTTATTATCCCTACCTGTTCACTCCCTGATGTTTATTTGCAATGTTTCCTGTTCCCAAAGACAAATTCAGATGAGATTTATAAAGATACTGATAATAAAAGAGGCAATAAAAATGAAAACTAGAAAAAGAGGAGTTCGATTTACATCAGAACTGCTCTCCAATGGAGCGATGGGAATGGAGCCCCCTTTTATACCAAGGGCTACTTGTAATCTCTATAGGAGCAACTCCCCAGGTCTCTCGCCCTCAAAGTCCATGGGTGAATGAAAACTACCAACTTCTTAAGTTAGCAGTTGGCACTTAGCCATACCACCAGGACTCCCTGTGGTTTACAATTCTATAGCATTCGTTTTCAGCCAGCAAAGGGCCTGATGCTAGCCCCTGACTTTATCTAAAAGGAAATCCAATGATAAGTTTTATTTTTACTGCTTCAATAACTGCAGGCTTAGTGACAATTGAAGAGACAAGTAAAACTGCCAATGACTTCCTGAGGCTACTGAAGAACCATTTTTCTGATGCTTATATAATTTTCATTGCATTAGGCTTAGCAGCCTGTCAGGGAGCATGGTTTTCATGATTAAACTTCAGACTTTTTCTTCCTGAAATCAGTTATTACCCTTTCATTCATTTCTTTAGCAATCAGTTACTTATGAATATGAGACCATAAATATTTAACAACCTTCTTCTGTAATTTAAGCTAGGGAAAATGACAAGTAAATTTCCACCTGGAAGGTGCCACACTCTTAATAGAGGGAATGATACATACAAGGAAGAATGCTAATAAGGTGAGCTGTAAGTGAAACAACAGTCAGAGACAGGATAGGTCATTGTGAATGTCATCAGGGGACATCATCTTAAACTGCTAATCAAGTTTCTGTTTTGTAGCAGAAACCGTGACGTATGTGACTCTGAGCTGTTCATGTAGTAATAGTACCATTTTTCATATAGCCCTCTAGCAATTGCACTGCCACACCCATTCTCTACATATATATCTGCTTGCTGAAGTCATTGGAAGGTGAATCACCCTGAAATGATGTCTAGTAATTAACACACATGCTAGGATAAAGTCTCTTGGTAACATTGACTTTGGATTTATGACCTTTAGTATATCTTTTGAAGGAGCCCTCATGGTGTAGTGGGTTACTCGTTGGGCGTTGGGCGGCTGCTATAAGGTCAACAGTTGGAACCTAGCAGTCATTCTTTTGGAGAAAGGCTGTCTGCTCCCACAAAGATTTACAGTCTCAGAAACCTGCAGGGGCATTTGTTGTACTGTGTCCCATTTACTAGATGAGTGACAGTGAGCAAGGATGTTTTCACATGTAATTCTATGCATTGTCACTTAATGGCTTCTTGAATGTATACCTTGATTCCTTAAAAATGGGACCTGTCCCTATATATTTTGCATTTTCCATAGCACCTGGTAGATGCTGTGTATATCAAAACCCTTGCCAAGGAGCCAATTCCGACTCAGCAAATCTCGGTAGGGTTTCTGAGACTGTGACTCTTTAGGGAAACAAATGGCCTCCTCTTTCTCCCCCAGAGTTGCTGGGTTTGAACCACTGACCTTGCAATCTAACAATAACTGACAGTGTTATAGTGCATAATGGACACTAAATGAAAACAGTGAATTGAATCGCATTCTTTTCTCCTAATGTGTTGCATAGGTTGCCCGATCTTGCCCTTTCCTTTCCACCCAGTAGCCAACTCCATCTACTCCATCCTTTGTACACCACCGTCCTTCGCCCCGCCCCCCCCAAGCCGCAGGGACTCTGTTCTCTGTAGTAGCTCAGGCATGTTTCCACGTCTTTTCTGTATCCTTTTTACAGGGGGCTAGACCACATGCAGGCATGAGCTTGTTATTATTGGAAAGTTGTGGTTGGAGGACAGTTTCTGGAGGTATGTGTAGACATTGGACATGTTTCTGAGAACTAGTACTAGTTTGAGAAAATAAACTGTACAGACAACAGAATTGCTAGTTTGTCTATAGCGTTGGGTTAAAGCTAATATTACCCCACCCAGTCTCTTCTTACACAAAAGAAACTAAGGTCAAGAGAGAAGGTTACAAATAAATAGTAGATATTCAATAAATTATTTACTGACTGAATATAATTCAGTCAGGCCAGCCTTGGAGAAATTCATCTTTCATGGTATTTAATGCCAACCATTGGCCACCTTGTCTTGGTTTCAGTTAGCAATTCAAGAGTAAGGAAACAATTTGTGTACAAAATAGATCACACCAAGATTGACATTGGTAGGCTAAATAATGGCCACTAAAGTTATACACAAACCTTCTTAATAGACTAGTGTTCTTGCAAGAAGGAGGCAGAGAAAGAGTTGGCGGAGAACTGCCTTTGACCATTAAGGTAGGATGTGATGCTGCTAGCTTTGATGATGGCACGTGACAGCTTATTTCATCGAGTTGACTTATTGCCGTGCTGGCTATCTCTGAAAAGCAAAACCAAAACGCTGGCTACTTTACCGTGTACTTCATGCACATTGATGCTTGTGAACTATCCCATTCCTTGAATCAATCTTCTCCTTCCTCACTTAGCTAAAGCTAATATTATCCCACCCAATCCCTTACCAATGAAGTGGTTTATTCCTTTTAGTAGTATTTTCTATTTCCTGTAGTCATTCAAAAGAAATAGAATTTCACTGAAGAAACTTTCAAGAATAATAATCAGCCTTTCTAAAGCTCCTGCTACATTTTAATTAGTTTTCTTCTCAATAAACAAGGGAAGTAACTCTTGGAATCTGAAGCACACGTTTATTAGTCATTTCAAAGAGCATAAAGTAAAAATAAATGAGCCCCACATCAAGTCTCCTAATAAGCAAGACATGCTTCATGTGTTAGAGCACAATCCTAAGGAGCCCTGGTGATGTATTGGTTTATGTGTTGTGCTGCTAACCACAAAGGCAGTGGTTTGAAACCACAAGCTGCTCAGTGGAAAAAGGATGAAGCTTTCTACTCCCATAAAGATTTACAGTCTTGGAAACCCACACAGGCAGTCCTACTCTGGCCTATAGCTTCACTATGAGTCAGAATCCACTCAATGGCAGTGAGTTTGGTTTTAGTTTGAGCACAGTAGGATAAATAGAAAATGGTTCTGTATTTGAAATCATGGTCTATCACAACTTTTTATCACTATAACAATATTTTTGCTTGAAAAAAATTCAAGAATAATACAGTGAATATATATGCCACTCAGATTCGCCAATTGTATTTTGTCACATTTGGTTTATTTAATCCCTGTATACTAATACACATTTTCCTTCCTTTCTCCCTGAACTGTTTGTTTTAGGAGCTAATTGCAGATATCGAGTCCAAATTATTTCAGCATGTGCGCTGTAAGAACAAGAACAATACCCCATGTAACCACCATGCAGTTATTATGCTCGACATTTTAGAGTGCCACATTTTTAAGAAGACATGGTGACACAGTCACTAAACACTCAGTTGTTAACCAAAAGGTTAGCGGTTTGAACCCACCCAGCAGCTGCAGGAAAAGAGCAGGCAGGCCTCTCCTGTAGTTGCCAGTCGACAGGCTGTTCTTCTCTGGAGTCTGTCTGGAGCCCCTGGCACACACCAACAGCACATTATGATCTACTGCAGAATCCGTCCTCAGTACTGTATCGCTTCCTTCCTATTACCACCCCACCAGAATCCAACTAAAGATGGCACTTTTGACCGTTGCCACTTCTCTATAACCCAGAACAGGTTCCTCGCTGTTTTGGTTTTATGTTTTTCATAAATCCACGCAAATACTCTTGAAGCAAATGTCTTATGAGCAGATTTAAGTTAACCATTTTGGCAAGAATACTCCATAGGTGATGTTATGTCCTCCTCCATCTCTCACATCAAGGGGCACATTTATTGTCATCCTATTTTGTCCAATTATTGGTTAATTTGATCATTAGATTATGGTAGTGCCATTAGATTTCTCCATGGTAAAAGTACTTTTTACTGCATAATAATTTGTAAGATGATTCTTGGAGAATAGATCACATTCTTAATAAAAGCTATTATATGCATACATTGTTTCAGAGAGGGAAAGTAGACCTTTGTAGAATTGGAATTACTTTAACAAACTTTTAGTGAGTACTTACTGGTATGTAACACTAGAGTGGCAAAAACTACCCAGGAAAGAATAGTTTTAGGGGGGGTGGGGGATGCTAAAAGAAAGAGCAAAATACCAGAAGCACATAAAAGAAAAACAAGCCATTGGAAATGGAGAGCTGGAAATATGAATGACGACACGATTTGAGATCTAATGGTAGAGGTAGTAGGTAGGTTACCAGTCTCATATACTAGTGAGAAAGGTGAGATTAGAACTCTGATTTACCTGGTTTTCTAATGACTAGATCTGAAGCATCCGATGACTCCCCTGTATGCCTTCTCCAGAGAGGTAAATTTATCATGTTGAAGCAATTCATGATACTTTATTTTGTAACTTAAAGGACACGATTTCTCCAAATCTACCTGCCAAGGAGTTTTAGAGAAAAATTTACTTGAGTTGATTTAAATTATGAGGTGAAACTCCTTAGGACCTAAATAGGACCTATCTAGTTTTGCCTCAGGGAGGAGTCTTCCTACATTTCACAACCGGATGTGACTCTGCCACACCTAAAGATAAGAGAAACAGCCCTTTCCTGCCACAGTTCACACACCAGGAAACCCATTAAGAGTAAACTTATTTACAGTTGAGACACAATTATCCTAGTTTACAGAAATCAAAAGCAATCTAGTCATTCAAGGGGCAGTGGAGGTCTGGAAGAGAAGTTGATTCTATGACCACTTTGCCTGGGGGTTAGGTGATGGGTTGCTAACTGCCAGGTTGTGGGGAAATGAGGTGAGGGTGTCTGCTCTTTAAAACTTTAGTCTTAGAAACCCTGTATAGGGACACTACTAGTCAGCATCAACGTGGCATTGGCGGTTTTGTTTCATACTTAGTGCGCAGGTCCACTGACACGCAAGGGGTCACCCGCTGACTGGACAAATGCTGTAAAAAGTACTTAATCTTTAGAAAAAGCTGTCGGGGGAGTGGAATAAGCTAATAATATTCACAGGATAAAAAGCTGTCGGGGGAGTGGAATAAGCTAATATTCACAGGATAAAAAGCTGTCGGGGGAATGGAATAAGCTAATATTCACTACCACAGCTAGGACTATAGCAACCTCCAGTCGAAGAGTTGTACATGGAGGCCGGGTGCGTGAGGCATTGTTTTGGTGCACAGGATCTCTGGTGCTCAGCTTTGGATTTGGAGACAGTGAAATCCAAACCGATCCCTCCCGCGGGATGAGGTGGAGCTGGGAGAAAAAGGAAAAGAGAAACGCTGGAAAAGGTCTCTGCTAAACCCTCTGCCAATACTTTCAGGAGGTGATTTATAAGGTTTGTGTTTGTTTTTCAAAGCGCCACTGAGCGGATTTCGATGAATGCCAAGCGTCATTTAATCTCTCCCCTTCACCTTTGCTGGCTTCCCGACACAAATCTTTTCAATGCGATTATCACGGCATTTAGTTTCCACAGAAGGATTCTGGTGGTCGCTCAATCACCAGACGCTCCTCAAAGAGGGGGTTCCGGGAAGGCTTTCCTGCGGGGAAAGGGCTGGAGAGGGCTGGTCTTCGGCAGGGGTTTCTCTCCTTGGGAGCAACTCAGTCTGCAGCCACAAGCGGCTCTCAGCGGCCACCGCCAGGCCGCCGGATAAGGACAGCCCGCTCAGCCCGCAGCGAGGGCCCGGGTGGACGCGCCCGCAGCGTCACTTCTGGGAAGGGCTGACCCTGCCAGGCCGCGAGGTCTGACGGGAAAAGCCGCCCACCGGCCGGAAGGGCTCGCTGCCTGGCGCACTGCGCACGCGCGACGGTGGCGCACGGCGCACTGCGCACGCGCGATGGGACCGCACTGCGCACGCGCGATGGGACCGCACTGCGCACGCGCGCTGGGACCGCTTCGCGCACTGGCCGCGCCGTTCCCTCCGCGGCCTCCCGGTTGCCTGGTCTCTAGTTGCCTCTTGTTCGTCCGCCGGCCGTTCACCCGGGCTCGAACGTGACGTAACCATCTCTCAATAACCCCTGCGCTGGCCTCTTGTGACGTAAGCAGCAGGTGTCTCCCACGTGCCGGGCCGCCCTCGGAGGAAGCTGCCCCGCTTTGCCCTGCTCCTCCCCAGGAGCGAACACACGTGATGGACACGGCTTGTAATTCCCCGCAGCCTCCAACTGGGCGTTGACCGTCCTCTTGCAACTGGGATGGAAGCGCGGCAGACCCTCCGCCGCGTTTGTAACCTGCTAACTTGGGATTTCTGTTCAACGGTTTTCTGTCGCTGCTGTTTTTACACGTTGTCAGTGTGAAAACTGGGAGAAAGTAGAGTGACCTCTTCAAGACAACGACTGTAGCCAGTAAAAACTGGGAAAGCCAGAACCTGTGGAAAGTGGAAACCTGTCAGAGAAGGAAAATCAAATATTTTCCAAGAAAATAATTACTTCAGCCTAATAAACACTCTCTGAAAGCTGGAGCCCACCCGACGGAGGAACCCATTGATAAAGGCACTGCAGCCCGAGGACGTGCAGATGCTGGTGCCACGGAGCAGGGGAGTCGGACGGCGTCCCAGCCTTCCACTGCCTGCGTGCTGTTGCTGCGTGTGGGTGTGGACGTGCCCCGAGCACAGCTAAACTCGCTGCTCTCCTTGTTGTTCGGTTGTATGTTGTTTATCCCCCACCTCCACTGTAATTTTACCACCCCCCCCCGAGATAAACACCATCCATACGTTTGGCAAAAGGTAAGATATTAATAGATTTCTTTAGTAAAATTTAGCAGAACTTGGACGTTTTTCTTGTCATGAGAAACTTTACACTTTCATTTTTGCTTCACATTTTGTCATTTTGATGCACCTTATTATAATTTCCAAAATCCACTTCTTTCCTTCAAAAGGAGTTTTTTTGTTTGTGCCTCCAAATAGAGGAGCGAAACATGTCCTCACTTCACAGTGTGTGCCGGTGCCGGTGCAGATGGTGGTGGTGGTGGGTGCTACGGATTCACTTCTGACTCAGTGACAGAATGAGAGGGTGTGGGTCCTGGGTGAGGCTCACCATCATGGCTGCGCTGGAGCCCACTGTTGGACCTACTGTGTCAGTTCATTTCCTTGAGCCTTTTCCTCTTTTTCACTCGGCCTGTTCCAAGCATGATGTCTTCCTCCAAGGACTTGCCCCTTCCAGCCACCATGTCTAAAATAAGGCCATTTGTTAATTCTTCTGGCTGCCCATGATGTATTCAGTTATGTCACCAACACCGTCATTCAAATGCCTGACTGCTTTGGTGCTCTTTATTCAGCATGTCAGGTGTTTGAAAGCACCTGGACTCCATCAGGCTCACCTTAGTTTTCAAAGTAATGGCTGCTTTAAAAGGTTTTTTTTTTCTTTTGTCAGCAGCAGCAGATTTACCCGTGCAATACATTGTTTACTTTCTTGCCTGCTGCTTTTTGCACGGATGTTGATTGTGAATCCAAAGGAAATGAAATCCCTGACAAGTCCAATCTTTGTTTATGATGATGTTGCTTATTGGTCTAGTTGTAAGGAAAAGCAAAAAAATCTTATTTTTTTCCCTTAAATATTTTATGAAAGTATACTAACTATCATATAATTGGTGTTGATAGTTTTCTGTGTTTTTGTTTGAGATTGTCACATTTTCAAGAAGATCTTAAGTTCCTTTTTTTTCTAAGAATATTTCCTTTTTGTTTCCTTTTTAAAAAAACGTATTCTTTCACAGCCATGGACAAGAAAGTGAGAAATTTATCTCTGAAAGAAAAGCTTGATGTTGTCAAAATGATAACGGAGGAGAAAAAGACTGTCAAGGAAGCTGTAATTAAGTTCAAGTGTGGCAAATCACAAATTTACTCAATCATAAAAGAAAAGGATAAAATCATCCAAAAGTACATGAGCAGTGCCAACATAAATGTCAAGAAAGGAAGGGATGGAAATTATGCAGAAATCAATAAATCTGTTTTTGAGTGGTTTCTCCAAGCCTCAGCCCAAAATATTCCCATTTCAGGACCTATCTTACAAGCAAAGGCAAAGGAAATGGCGAAACTTTTAAAAGTTGATGGATTCTCAGCATCTAATGGGTGGCTTCAGAGCTTCAAAAAGAATCACGGAATCACTTGCAATGTAAGAAAATGCTTTAAAAAGCACTGTGGTTTCTTATTTGGCAATGGCGATAGCATACAAAGCAAAACAGTCATCGAGCCTGATGACATCGTTCAGATTCAGGATGCAATAAATGACATTTACAGTGGCGTTTCAGAAAACAAAATCAGTGCTGCCCCTGGCATTGACAAAGACAAAGAAATGGCCACCGAGATGGATCATAGAAACGTGCAAGAAATGGAGGACTCCCTCTCTACACAGGACAATGATGAAGGTGATGAGGACCTGCCATTAGACGAGCCTAAGCCTTTAAGTCAGATGCAAGTATTCAACTATATAAAAGCGTTGAAGGAATTTGGAAAAGTTAAAGGAGACCAAGAGTTTTTTGATAAGGCTACAGACTTAGAAATTTGTTTCAATAATTTCATTAAAAAAAGAAAAGTTAATAGTTGATCTTTGATGCTTTTATTAAAATATAAATTCTACTTGTATCTTTGAATAGTATATGTGCATATTTATACATAATTTGAATAAACATCATAAAAAATCATTTGGTTTCTTTGTTCTATAAAATCGAAAAGAAACATCTGGATGTTCATGTGGTAGAATTAATAAGGAATGGTAGTGGTAGGATTGTACCTTGTTAAAGGTGGAAAGCTTTCCAGGACCCAGAGACACAAGGCAGTCAAGTTCTTGCTCTTACAACTTACCTTTTATCTGGAGGCAGGGATAAAGGACACCTGGAGTCTTGGGCTACTAACTGCAAGGTCAGCAGTTTGAAACTACCAGCTGCTCTTTGGGAGAAAGATGAGGCCTTAAAGGGTTAGAGTGAGAGTGCGACGTAGCAACGATGAAAAATACAACTTTCCTCTAATTCCTAAATGCTTCCTCCGCCCCCCACTATCATGATCCCAATTCTACCTTGCAAGTCTGTCTAGACCAGAGGATGTGCACTGGTACAGATAGGAACTGGAAACGGAATCCAGGGTGGATGATCCCTTCAGGACTAGTGGTGAGAGTAGCGATACTGGGAGGGTAGAGGGGGAGTGGGTAGGAAAGAGGGAACCGATTACAAGGATCTACATGTGACCTCCTCCCTGTGGGACGGACAACAGAAAAGTGGGTGAAGGGAGATGTCGGACAGGGCAAGATATGACAAAATAATTTATAAATTATCAAGGGTTCATGAGGGACGGGAGAGCGGGGAGGGAGGGGAAAAAAGGATCTGATGCCAGGGGCTTAAGTGGAGAGCAAATGTTTTGAGACTGATGAAGCCAATGAATGTACAAATATGTTTTACATAATTGATGTATGGATTGTGATAAGAGTTGTATGAGCTCCTAATAAAACGATTAAAAAAAAAAAGTGTGGGAAACCCACAGGACAATTCTACTCTGCCCTTTGGGGTTGCTATTAGAATTGTCTCAGTGCCAGTGAGTTGGAGTTAATCTAGTTTGAAGAAATTAGTGAAAATTTAATTTTTCTGTAGACTATCCAGAAGTGGCATCTCCAAAGGCGGGGTGTAAAAAGGCCCGAAAGAGGTCTGAGAAAGAGGTCACTGTTTTGTAAGCCCAGATGGAGATCAGCCTGGCTGACGTAAAGGCAGAGAAGGCCAACTTGTACAAACTGGAGGTTTAGTGCGCCGACACAGAAATAGACTCGCTGTCCATGAAAGGGGTGGATCGCAGCAGCTGCTTTCACTGTGAGGAGCCAGGGCCAGGTTGCCTAAGGCCATCCGTGAAACCGCCAAGCCTGGGTGTCTACTGCTCCTTCCCTCTCCTTGTCTTCTCTCACTGGTTTCTCCCTTCCTTTCCATTTGGATTTCCTCTCAGGCCCCCCTATTGCTCCCTTCCTCCTCCATTCCCACTCCTGCTTCCTCTCTTTAATTTTCTTAGTTGGGCTACTCTTCTTTTTCTCTTAAATGACTATAAAATAAAATTACAGCCTTTTTTTGGCCTTAGTTTCATTTTCATAAGACTGTAATAAGAAAAGTGCCTTTTTCTTAAGAGTTTATGTTTTTTGCGTGGGGCAGGAGTTTATCCTTAATATATATATGGATAGGAAATTTCTTCTGATAGAAGGTGTTTTCTTTTTGTTATAACAGTTTGTTGTGCCATGACAGGAGAATTTGAAGTATGTGTGAATGGAAGCAGGAGTTAACAAAAAGTACAGCACTATAAAAAGGGAGAGGCTCGAAAGGTTGCAGACCTCAACCCAAGGGACAGCTGTGGAGTCACAGCATTTCTAACCAATTCCTGCATGTGTATCTGTGATGGGTTTCCATAGATGGTTTTTATTTATGTCCTTTTTACAGAGGAAACTGGCTGCAGCTGTCCCAGAAGTTACAGGAGTTTTATCTGGGAAATAAAACAATCTGCCAATGTTTCCAGACTCCATAACCACTCGTAGACTTTTCAGCCTAAGTGGCAAGGTCAGCAGTTTGAAACCCCTCAGGAGGGAGATGAGGCTTCCTACTCTTGTAAAGACATAATCTCAGAACCCCCAAAGGCAATTTGACCCTGTCCCATATGGGAGTTATGAGTGGGAATCAACTGGCTTGTAGTGAGCTTGATGTTGGGTTTTTATACTGAACAAAAATAACTTAAAAAATGATTGCTTGTTCTGGTGGCAAAGCGGCGGCGAACCCAGTGCCTGGCAAAATGGAGCTCAAGGCATGAGCAGGTATACCAGCCGGTGACCCCGCTGTCATGCCCCATCTGACTGTGGTGCTCCTGGCCTTTGGCATGTTCTTCACCGCCTGGTTCTTCGTATGAGGTGATCTCCACCAAGTACAATCGGGACATCTACAAAGAGCCCCCCATCCCCCGGGTGGCCTCGCTCTTTATGGGCTTTGGGGTCCTCTTCTTCCTGCTGCTCTGGGTTGGCATCTACTTACGACAACCCCCACCCCCTCGAGGCACCAACCAGCCCCTTCACTGGATCCCTCCTTTTGTAAATCACACTTTGGGTCTTTTTTTACCCTTTCTGAAAGCGTAGCCCCTGTGCTCACAATAAAGGCAGAGGCGTAGAAAAAAAAAGTGATTGCTCATTTCAAAAACCTTTTGCAAAAATGGCATGGAGGCAATTTCTGACCTCCTCCAGCTCCTTAATTCCATGCCAGCCCAGCGCCAATTTCCACAACACAGGGCAGCCATGCTTGCACCCTCAACTTCCTCCTACAGAACATCAACCCTTCCTTTCATGGCACTCTACTTCTTTGCTGGATTCAACAGTCTGCCCCTTCAGGGCTCCTAAAACTCCCTTAGCACTGATAAATTCCCAAAGGGTAGTCCACTCTAAGCCAGCCTCCTATCTGAAGGCACTCCGCTTTATTCAGTCCATGGGCCAGGAAGCCCACGGCTCATGATCCTCTGCCACTTCTTTGGACGTCTTTACTCTTGGCTCATTCCTTGCTATCCTGGGATTCTCTGTTCCTGCTTTGAAGATGACTCTCTTTATACCCAGTGGAATGGCAAAACATCGATCTGCTTATATTAGTTCCATACACCCAGTCATTTGGTGGAAGTTATGAAAATGGATAGGAGAGCCATACTAAGCAACTTTACTTCATATCACACATTTGGTGAATGGATAGTGACAACAGAAAAATACATTACACTCTTTGATCTTAAATCTGAACCTTTTTGTTACCATAATTTTTTTCCATAGTGTTTCTGTATTGCTATTTACCCTGAAATATACAATTCAGAAAAGCAATTTTAGATTGTTCTCTCATTCAAAAAGTCTGCCTTACATTGTGGTGGTATTTTTAAATCATCTTACCATAAAGTTGGGCACCCAGATCCCAGGGTGATAGAAGGACAAAGCTTGTTTATTCACGAGAAACTTGATGTACTTACATGACTTTATTATTGTCACACACAGTATTGTAAGACCCCCCCAAAATGAAACCAACCCATCAGACACAAAAACTCCCAAAGCAACCAGGAACATTGAGGGTAGTTTTATTTTTGTGGCTTCAAAATAAAAATAAAAATCTGCCAAAGAGTCTTGTGTTGAAATTAAAGAGTTTATTGAAGGAACAAAGTGATCCAGGATTGGGCAGTACCTTGTAAGAATTCACCAAAGTAGTACAGCAAAGGGGAATTTTCACAGGTTAAGTGCAGCGAATCCAGGAATTTACAAAGAGAAAATTTAGATTGACATTTACAGAATCATGCTTTAACAGACGCAAAGCACCTTGAACACTCTTTTGCTATTTGTAAAGTTAGTCACTGAACAGCTTAAAACAGGTATTTCCAGGGCCACTGTGGGTGAATGCTCATGCTGAGAGGAAGGGAATGGGAGGGAGCAGCACACCAGCAGGCCTCCTGAGAGAGGCATCCTGAGAGATGCTGGCTAGTTAACATTTGAAAGCTCAGAATAGGCAGTGAGACCCCTCCTGCTCTGGCCTACAAAAGTGTCTCTGGTGCAAGCACCTAGCTCTTCTGTTGTTTTGAGTTCCTTCACAGATCTTAATAAATCAGTAACCATGCTGGCATTTATACTGCTAGTACTGTAGCATATACAGGCACAAAATAACAGCATAAGAAAATGTTAAATAGGAAAATGAGCAGCCGATATTAAGGGCTCAAGTAGAAGGCAAATGTTTTGAGAATGATGAGGGCAACAAATGTACATATGTGCTCGACATAATGGATGTATGTATGGATTGTGATAAGGATTGTGCTCGACACAATAGATGTATGTATGGATTGTGATAAGGATTATATGAGCCTCCAATAAAATGATGAAAAAACCAAAAAACCTTAAGCCAAAAAAAAAAGAAAGAAAGAAAATGTTAAATAATGATAATTTATAAATTACCAAGTGTTCATGAGGACAGGGAGGGGGGAAAATGAGGAGCTGATACCAAGGGCTCAAGTAGAAAGAAAATGTTTTGAAAATGATGATGGCAACAAATATACACATGTGCCAGACACAATGGATGTACGTATATATTGTGATAATGATATAATGATTAAATATAATGATTTAAAAAACCCATGTTAATAAATTATTATTAGGAGAGCTGAGGATGCATTTTACTAACGTCTGTATTCATAGGGTAAAATTTGAAATAGGGACTCAGAGCAAAGCTTCATAATTTTATCTTTCCATCTTACAACTGAGGTAGAAGCCAATTTGAGAAAAAAAGAAAGGAAAAAAAAGCACTGGCAAGACACACTGTATGTGTCCCATTGCCCTGAAGCTGTAGTAAAGCATCAAAGGGGACAATACTTTGGTGCAAAGATTACTTCAGATAATTTGAGAAAAGTGCTGTTCTAAAAAACTGCGACTTTCTAGTCTGCAGATAACTGAGATATTCTTGGATTATGAATGTATTCTTATTGGTAAGAAATGAATGTCTCTGATCCTCATACTGTTTTAGATACCATTGTTACATTGACCCACATTTAGCTACTTGAAGTAACCATTTTATTGTGATTATGGGTTTTGTGGGTCAGAATTTCAAATTGGGCATTGCTGGTGTGTTAGGCAAGGTTCTTTAGCGAAATGAAACCAGGACACTTATGATTTTACATATCT